TGATATTTGGCACGATTGTAGGTCTTGCGCCCTGTCCCCAGTGGCTTATTAGTACTTACCCCCAACCAAAAAAAGGGGGCCTGGGGGCGGAGCCCCCAGCAAGCTAAAGGCGAGTGTATTCCTATACAGTAGTAGTTTTGGCGGCATATCTGGAAAAATGCACACTAAATATGCAAACCAACTCCTGTTCTGCATATAAGGTTTCAACTTACTACAAGATTCCCGTACGTAGAACGGGCAAACAGCTAGTAGACTATATTTTAAGTTGAAACATAGAAGAGTACCTTACACCACAGACCTTAAACCTTCTTATGTTGCATTTTGTTGGTGAGTCGGTGGCTCAGTCGGTAGCGTCACGGACTTCGGGCCCAAAACAGCGATGTCGGGGGTTCGGATCATGGTCACTGCCGAAACATTTTATCAGTACAGTTCACACCTTTGTACTGTACTGGCTCACCCCTTGCTTCTTGCTTTGCTGGATACGTTCCACGCACGGGCAGTTAGGCGATGTGGACGGGCAAATGCAAGGTCAAAAGAGACCATCCACCTCTTAAATATATATATTTATAAAATAGTTCCTGAGCTCATAATTTCTGTTATAAGATTTACTGGTAGGCCTACGGTACGTGCAATATGACTTGGGGGATTTAAAAATAAAGAAAAATTTTGCATTTTATTTCCTGAACATTACATTATAAACACACTATTTGGGCTTACTGAACATTAGCCATTTGGTAACATTGGATTTCCAACACGACTCACATTTACATTGTAGAAACACATTTAATTCTATTTACAAAAAAATTTCTACATATAAATCTGTCAATGTTTGTACATGCTATTACAAGAGTCTCTTAGACTAGTAAAATATAATAAATATTCAATTTTGAAGTAGAAAATGGACCCTTACACCTATTGCACTAAATTGCTTGAGTAAGTCTGGGCATGAACTGTCGCTGCAATGCCAGAACACCTCAAGTTTTACTGTACTTTCGATTATTATAAAGTTGTACAATAAATTACAGTTTACCGTTTCTTATGTATAATTTGCCACTGTCTTCTACTAGTATTAAGTAATGCTAGTAGAAGACAGTGGAAAATATTAGTAGACTACAACGAAATTCCAAAGTCATACACCAATTCTCTCCCAAGAAAATTATGTACTGTAGTCCTATACCACGATTTACAAATCAAATTATAACTACTTTCATCTCAATTCCTGATTGACTTGAACGTACATCTAATTTGAATTCAGCACAGAAAATTTATCATATAGATTTATTTATACAGTTATTAGATTCCTCCAAAACATTCTAATAATGGAAACACGTTAAATCAACTGGCAAAGGTGATTGGTGATTGGACCCTGCTGGGTACCTACGTGTTACGTGTACACATAAAAACACAAAGTTACTTATCCTGTGTGTAGTAAGGCTATAACAAACTGTACGGACTAGTTCAGGATTGACAGTTGCGTAAGGCCCCGGGTACGATACGAGCGGCGAGCGGCATGAGCGGCGCCGCTCTGACATCGGGTCTCATTTAGTTGCGTGTAAATTTGTTGAGGGTGGCCACGATACGTCTGAACGGTGAGCGGTGGTAAGCGGCACCGCTCAGCGCCGCTTATGGTTCCAAGTCAAAACCGATTTTCGCGAAAACGCCGCTCGCCGTTCAGGTGAGTCATGCTTCAGTTCGGCCTAAAATGACAGGGAAACAGCAGCAAACATGCGATACGGGTCGATACGTGAGGTTTAGTCCAGGGAATGTTTGTGGAATGACCAGCACGGGAGTTTTAAAACACTTCAATCACCAGAAAAGTATGGGACAAAGTTAGGGTTAAGGGTTTTCTAATTTTTTTAAAGGCAACCAATTGTCAGATTGCAACAATAGTTGCAATACGTCTAGCAGGTAAGCATTGTTTAACATTTTCCATTAAACTGACTCATAAACCTGGGGAAATTTGATGAGCGTTAAAAAATGTGCCGCTTGTATCGTAGCCACCACCGCCGCTTACGTGCCGCTCAGGTTGCCACTCGCCGCTTGCCGCTCACCGCTCGCCGCTCGTATCGTACCCGAGGCCTAATGCGTATTGTATGAATACTTTTAGGTACCTACCTACGTGTACATGTACACACTCAACATATCCGATATAGGAACTGGTGTCAACACTACAGATCCAACAATCACGTAAAGTGAAACTACGATGTATCTACTTGTACATGTACGGGTACACATGTATACCACGCATAATATTCTGCATGCTAACTTTGAGGTAAATTCGTGTACATGTACACACTCAACATATCCGATATAGGAACTGATGTCAGCACTACACATCCGACAATAGCGTAAAGTGAAACTACGATGTATCTACTTGTACATGTACGGGTACACATGTATACCACGCATAATATTCTGCATGCTAACTTTGAATAGAACTTTGCATAAATCAAATATTGAAATTTCCAATCGGCATAATGTACATTAGGGAACAACTACGTGTTAGTACGCATGTACAGCCTTACAAAACATATCCTACATGACAGTTAGCACTGTAACATATGGAGTAATTTGCTGATCCTTCAGAGGTTGACAGACTACGGGGTATCTACGTGCACACGTACAATAGTATGTTCTGCAAACCACAAGTTATCTACATAGTGATTTATATTACGATTTACGAATCAATCAGAGATCAGGTCACAAACTATGAGGTTTATGTACACTTGTACATTTGTACAGCGTCACAAAACATATCCTATCTAGCTTCTAATACAGCAACATTTTACAAGTCACTAAGGCCGTCGACACACGGGAAGACTGTTTTCCAACTGATCGTTATCCACAATTTCTTGTAAATGTCTTATCATTTTTCAAAAGCTGATCTTGTTTTTTAGTGTTTTCTACAAATAGCCTTAGGCCGTCGACACATGGGAAGACTGTTTTCCAACTGAAATCGGCAACCAGTTGGACAAACTAGTCGCCTTCGTCCCGACCAATGTAGTTAGGTGGGACAGTACACACGGTGCGACTGCGATGCGACCAGTTGAGGACCTGTCGGCGATCAGTCGTTAAGCAACCGGACCTGCCGGTTGCTAGGTGATTTCAGTCGCCTGGTTTGAACAACTTTTCGCATATTTGTATTGTGCTTTTCAAGGATCAGATATACCAACTGCGATAACTCTTCGTAAGCACTTTTTGACATCTTGTGTACATAGACTGAAATTTTGCGTCTGTTTCTTGTAATGCAGCAGCAGCTACAAAGAGCCTACATTAAATATTTGTTTTAACATAAGGATGTACCCAACACCTTCTACTCTACGCTTTCTTGATTGTTTATAAAACACTAAGGCTTCTTCATCACTATTACTCATTTCAAACACCATACACAGTACACAGTATCGTTATAACAAAATTAGAACTCATTCACTGTCTCAACTCAATTATAGTCGCGCCCGTGTGCGGATTTAACCAACGCAACTGCAACCGTAATCGCGTCACAAAACAGTTGGTTCAACTTTAGTTGGGTTTCAGTCTTCCCGTGTGTCGACCGCCTAAGAGGTTTCTACGTGTACATGACCACAGTTACGTCCGTATAAAACATTTTGATCTACAACTCATGGTGTTTCGATTACATTATCCTCGTCACACAAACTAGTTCAATGACATTTTACATAGACTACTACACTACAGTACAGTATCGGGTGGTCGGTCAGTTGCATGGCGGTGCGCCCAACTCGACAGGACAACATCTATATACGCGTATGTACAACAGAAGCGAACGTTATAATGTAAATAACTTATACACCCATACAACAAAATACAGGTTAGCCAATCCGATTTGTTATTTAAAAATAGTAATAATTATAACAATAACAATTACTGACATTACGAATTCAATTAATTAAGTATTAGGAAACCCCTGTAAAAACTATTATACTTATGACCTAAAATTATAAAAATATTGTATAGTAATATTATTAAATAACAATTTCGCAAAGTATCATTATTAATTATTAAACAATTATTAGTTCATTCTATACAAATGTTGCTACGATTGGTACTAAACCTTGTGACACGTCAATAGTATTTTACGCAACGATTGCGTAAAGATAGTAGTAACGACACGAGTAAAAAATTTAATTTATAAAGACTTCTACGAATGTTGTTAACACTATTTACCTACGACCGTTTTTTAAAGTAGCCGTTTCAGTACAGTTCTTAGAATTGAAAAGTATCTCATAACAGCATTGTTTACTTTCATAACAGCATAGTTTTACTCATAACAACACGGGTAACGGACCAATGAGGTTCAATGATTGAGAGAGGAGAAGCAAAATTGTAATGATTCGAAATTCAACTAATCAGCTGTTCCGGCCAATTTAATTGTTGATTGGTGCAATTAGTGAATTAGTGTTTGATTCCTTGCTTCACTGTCAGTGGCAATGAGAGGTTTTAAACCAAAACATAACCTCTCTCTTAGAAGTTATGAGTAGTGATTTTTAGTAATTAAAACACCGTCGTAGGTAAAGTAGTGTACGCAACTCGCGTAAATAGTGTTAACGACACTCGTAGAAGTTTTTAAGGCACTCGCCAAGGATCGTACCTTAAATTTTCTACTCGTGTCGTTAACACTATCTTTACGCAATCGTTGCGTAAACTACTATTACGCGAGTTGCGTACATTTATTTACCTACGACAGTGTTTTAATTACTAAAAATCACGACTCATAACTTCTAAGAGAGGTTATGTTTACGTTTATAACCTCTCATTGCCACTGACAGTGATGCAACGAAACGTTGTACCAAACACTAATTGCACCACTCAACAATTGAATTGGCCTAAACCGCTGATTAGTTGAAGCTCCAATCATTATAATTTTACTTCTCCTCTCTCAATCCTTGAATCTCATTGGTCCATTTCCTGTGTTGTTATGAGTAAAACTATGCTGATATGAAAGTAAAAAATGCTGTTATGAGAAACTTTTCAATTCTAAGAACTGAACTGAAACTGCTACATTAAAAAACGGTCGTACGTAAATATATTTAGGGGTAACTGAACTGTTTAGAAACTGTCAAATGCCTCGAAAATGAAAATGGGCTACATACTAAACTGTATAGTTACCCGTTTGATTTATTTATTTGATTGATTTATACAAAATATTTTTGTTATAAGTGTCCAATACTGTAATACCATTTTATTTATAACACAAATGAATAATAGTGTTAGGCCTAAATTTTCACGACAATATAACTAAGTTAAAGTTAATTTTAGCAAATTTCCTATATGGGGAATAAGCTACAGTATTACCATAGGTCTCATGGTAAGACCTAGACCCGGGACTGATTTACTTTTTCGTTTTGAGGTCCCCAGAGGCCAACAAAAACACCATCCGTTCAAATTCATATTTATGTGTGCGCGCGCGTGTGCGTGTGTGTGTGTGTTTGTGTGTGTGTGTGTCCGTTAGCACGACAACTCGAGCAAAAATGATACGATTTTGATGAAATTTTGTATAAACGTGTAAACCTACCTATAAACCTTCGCGAACCAGCACAATCGGACGATGGGAACGGAGGTTTTATGGTAAAAATTGATTTTCCCCATTTGTTTACCATAAAAACACAAAATTTCTTAATTTCTCTCCAAACCATTTTGTATAGCTTAAAAAAATAATGTTTTACATTGAAGCGTTATTGTATACCCAACGGTGTTGAAGATGGTTAAACAAATTGTAAATTTAAAATTCCCATGTTATTCTTATGGAGAAATAAACTGTTGTAGTTTGCTTGTTCATGGATATATTGTAATCAAATTTGGCAATTTGTTTATTTCATACTAAGCTATCAACATTTCAATAAACAAACACTCCTCAATATCTTCCCGATAGCAGCAATTCTATGTAACTTATGCACTAAAATTAATGTTATTTAAATAGGAAATAAATCAGACAATTTTTTTGGGGAATATTTAAGTAGAAATCCTGCCAGTTAAATGGAAATTCGCTTAGTCTGCAGGCTTACTGCGGAGGGGGTATTAAGAGTTTCTAACACATGTGTCTGATTTTTATGAGCTAGAGATTCATGCCACTCTTGGACGGTTTTCTCTTTATACTACACGCCGTTTCATCTTTTGAATGCGGCAACAGAACATACATTTCAACTTCATAGAGTCCATTTACACAATGTCCATACAGCTGTGCAACGTTATTCTTCATGAAGACACATTTTTCTTTGGTTACTTTGAAACTAAATCCTTTCTTCACTGTTGTGCTGACTGACATCAGGTTTCTTCCTAGCTTGGAAGAACATTCTCTAACATTACATGTATGGTTAACTACATTAACCATACATTCTCTAAAGTTGTTTAATATGGGGTTAATTAATAATGATAAATGATTTATGGATGAATGTACCTTTGGAATTATGTCGGACATAGTGAGCGGCAAGGAAGCGCCGCCGGGGTCGAGTTGCGATGGTAGATGGTAGAATGTCCTCAAGACGAAGGCACAACACTTGACACTATCTTCTTATGTTGAAGTCTTGATTTTGATTTCGGAATAACGCACGTCTAAAGGTCTATACAGTCCAAAATGAGCGCTCACTAGAAGTTCCTACGCGATCGCGGTAGACCGGAATGGGAGGATTCACTGCTAAACTGACTTTACACACTGGTTAATACAATTAATTTAATTTAAAGAGGCAAAAATGTTATGAGTACTATACAAAGGGGCCACGGACTATTCCGAGTGGCAATAATAGAGAATTAAAACTATAAGAGGGAAAGCCACAATGGCAAAGAATATTAATTATGTCAGAGTGACATGTGTTAGGTAAACCCGGCAACCAACAGACTGGGCCAAGCGTCCCGATGCGACGCTAAAACTTCGCAAAAATATCCTTCCGCCAAGTTAACCAATGGGCATTGTGCTGACCCCACTAGGTTCAATTGAAAACCCCTACTCTCTCTCGGCGGCAAATTCAAATGCATAAATTATATATAGTACAAGAAATAAAAACATTTTCCTGAAAAGTTACTTAACAAAAGTTGTGATGTATCGATTCTTACCAATATTCACTCTTACTCGAATACTTGGTACTTATTTAGGACCCAGACCCCAGCTTAAACGTTCTAAAATCACTTTTAAACTATTCTAGGACATCAATACTACAACTTTACTGATATGTGTGAAAGAAGTCCCTCCGTAAACATATATGCTGCGATGCTCCAGAATCTGCAATAAAGTTGTCTTTCCTGTGCTCCTTTGCTACAAAACACAAGAATAGACCACTGGTACATTTTCTAGGCTCAGTCTTGTTCTCGTCTTCTTTTTCTGATTTCTTTAAGCTTCGACTCCTCTGTTTCTTCAGGTTTTGTCCTTTCACCAGTAATCAGATCACTAGTTCCATGATGTATCAAAACTAATTCCATATGGCATTTCCACCTTTTCCATGATTGAGAATTGCTTAGTTTTTCAACATTCACTTTTAAATACATTCTTTTAACACTTGCTGGGCCCATAACCAAATAAAAACAATAAAAGTTGGATAAAAGAAATTAGTTTGTTTCTGAGGTGTTGAATCCCGGATTACTTAACAAATACTAATCTAGAGGTTTAATACCTTTTTGCCAACGTCTAGACCTGAGCCCGCAGCCGCGCCGTGAGTTGTATGGCCATACAGTATTATTCGTTAAAATGTGTGTTCGTGTTCGTGTTCGTGTTCGTTTTTGTTATTTGTTCGTCTCGTTATGTGTTTTTGAAGACTTTATGACGACCTCATAGGAGCGAAAAACCACGTCTACTAGGTCTAGTAGGCTTGACAATGACACCATAAGTGTGTCGAAACCGGTAGCCATTAAGTATACCAAGGATTACGTTGGAAAAATAGGTATTTAACCTCTAGATTAATAAATTAGTTTATTACTCTAACAAAGCCCATGTTATGAGTCAAAGGGGATAATTTGTATTATCATTCAATAATAAACAACACATGTTTTAAGGAACATTAATACCAACTCACAGGTTTAACATTATTTTTCAATTATTAAAATTCATGATATTTAAATATGAACTAAATCTGACAATTTTTTAGGGTATAATTTAGGGGAATTTCACCCAGGTAAATGGGAATTCGCTTAGTCTGCAGGTATGCTGAGGCGGGGGTATTAAATTATTATTATTAAGATCTAAACATGTACGAAATACAGCAACATCGTGATTTGTCTATTGCGGCAGATAGCAAGGAAGAGATAAGTTTTAAACTTCACATACCTCGGCTAATAAGTAGGCCAATTAATGATCTATGATTCCAAACCTCAATTTTTGAGACAATAACATCATATCTTAAAACTTCCTTTGGCATAAGAATTATGGTAAAAAAAAAACAATGGTAGGAATGCCGTGAGTAGAATAACAATATAACCGATTACATGATGCGGAAAGGCGATACTTAGTGGTAGTTGACAGTTCCTAAGAGGGCCTAACGTATTGTTTATTACTATATACGAACAAGTCTGTGGGTATTTAAAGCAAACTAACGGACATTTATCTCACATTAGTTGACTATTAACACCAACTGAGTGAAAAACATCGATTGTATCTTTGTACAAGTTTTGATGTTAGACTCCTTATTCGCCTGTTCGCAAACGCGTTTTAACCTTAAACGTAATGTGTTAAACGAATAAATTACAACGATTTAAACTATATCGGTAGACAACTATGTTCGATAAAATGGATTTACAACAAATATTTCAAGCTGCGAATCGAAAACGATTATCGAATAACATCGGTTTCGATCGAAATGCCGTTGGATCAACGGCTTGGTCAATGCTATTATGTACATATATTCACACTCGGGAGTTGGAAAATTGCAGAATTTCTGTCTGTAAAAATTTAAAAAATCGTATTTTCAGGTATAAAAAGGTATAAATAGACAACAACTACAAACATTTAAGTCAGACAATTTGCTGTGAACACTTAGTTATTGGGGTCGCCAATCTATCGGCTGGTACTTGACATTCTGTTGACGTTGACAAGGGATGCACTAGTCTACGCTGACCGTTGAGGTGATGACGCACTGGTCAGTTTTTCGTATTGAGAATAGGTTACCGCAAGAGGTTTCCAATTACTTATCACAACTAAGTCTACTGAGTAGATTATTCGATCACCAGTAATGTACATTGTACATCAGTCGATTAGTCGAAAAGATTGTCTTCCGTCGATTACGAATAATTTGTGGACAGTTTTACGACGAATAGCCTCGTAGTCTACAATCGTTGTAAAGCCGATTTGTTTACGAGACGGTAACGGTTTGAACCTTAGACGCGTACGAAATTCTTACTCACTAGATAAATAACACGCAACATCGATCGAGAGCCGAGAGACCAGCTCCCAGCTCGGTGAACACAGAGGAGTAGAAGGGGCATTGTTTCCTAGTCGAAGCGCTAATTAAAAGCCAAAGTCACCACTACAGTCCATGGAGTAGTCGACGTCGTCCATGGCGTAGTTGCAGGTGTCGTAGAGGTGGTGGAGGTTGACGTCGTGGTGGTGGAGGTGGTGATGGTCAACGCAGGTGGTGGAGGGTGGTGGTGGAGGTGGTGCCTGATGGTTGCTGGTGGCGTCACAACCGCAGCACTGGTTGTGGCTTACGTCATGTGGTTGTGGAGCAGCGTCGCAGCAGCAGCAGTGATGGTTGGCGGTGCAGCGGTTAGGCGAAGGATAGGTCCAGCTCCAGCCCAGACCTTGTCCCCACAGTAGTAGTGTCGTCCCCACGCCACCTCCACCAACTCCTCCATCGCTGCACCCACAGTCTACAACGTCCTTCTTGGTGATGGCAGGACTGTCACCGTCTGTAACGGAACGACAACACTTTACTCAGACGTAATTCCAGGCACTATATCGATATCAATTACAGGAACTTCATTATGATCTACAAACGTGGAAATGTGTATAATAATTATTACGAACTTAACCATTGGCTCAGAATTACAAAGCGTGATAAATACGAATATGCCTAAATATCATTGCGGTAATATATTCTTTAAAACGTGAAGTAGTAAACATTGGCACCGAATGTTGAACTCTGTGGTATCAAAGTTTATGGTTAACTCATGTATTTAAAATACTTTTTTTTATTATCCATATATGAATCTCAAAGTCCATGAACTTTTGAGAAAACTAAAAGTCACACCCCCATAAACCATATAGGTACTTAAAATGTTCGTCATGACAACCCTACGCTAAGCTGTCTATTATTTCATAAATTGTCCTGTAAGGTCGTAAATCCTTTCTAAAGGGAATTTTACATGTACCTAATGTTAAAAATACCTCAGCTGTACTTATTTGATGTTATTCTTTCAACTTATTACCAAAAACCAGGTGTAATTATTTGTTTGTATTACTGTATTCTGTTTTGTTTATTTCAGCTTAACTTATAATCAATAGTTTAATTAATACATGTTAATGCTTATGATGTCAAAACATGGTGGAAGGAATCTTTCCGCCTTGTAGACCATGAGCCACCAATATGAAACCCTCCCCCCCCCGTGGGAATTTATGACTTATACTTTTTTTTTTTGGTATTACCTACCAGATTAAGAATTCAGTTGTTTGCCTCTTTTAAATTACAGCGTATTCCGGAAAATAAAGAAAAACTGTTCAATTTAAAAACCGTTTTATTAAAATTACATAAGGGGACGTTAATTACTGGTGAAATATTTTTTTATGGACTTCTTCAGTATATATTCAAAGGCTTCAAATGAAAATAAAAAAGTTAAAAAAATACCCCCGCTGCAGCAAACCTGCAGGCAATGCGGATTTCAAATTGGCCTGAATTGATTTTCAATTAAATCTATTTAAATAACATTAGATTTAAAGAGTACCTCTAGGAAAGCAATTTTAAGAGATTCTAATTAAATTAAATAAATTTTATTTGAGACATTTTAGACGTAAATTTTACTGGAATGTAAGGTTCCAGTAAAATTAACGTCTAAAACTTCGTTTTCCTCGTATCAAAATCGGATTTGCGGCAAAAATTTTATTTTTTTAAATCTCTTTAAAATAATGTGCCGATTGATATGGGTTGCCATTAAAAAAATTTCAACCCTGTTTGCGGGTGGGGGGTGAATTTCAAAATATCACCAAAAACAACCTTACATTACCTAGAAACGTGTATTGAAGCTTGTTTGAATTTTATTTGTGCTGAGACCATTCATTATTTAGCATGTTAGCCCATTGTTCTTTATTTTTACCATTAGCTAGGATTTTTTTCCAATCCCGTGGGATCTTGATTTTGGACATCTCATTAAGAACGTTTCTCCATATCCTCTTCTCTCTTTCAATGTTTTAATAGTTACATCTAAATAGGTATCCACAATAAAGTATACCCTGCTGAGTTTCGGAAAACTGCTGAAGGCAATCTGTGCTAGTTCACCAGAGGTTTCTGGAATATTAGTAAGAACCGAAAAGTAAGCCATACCGTCAATTACATACATACATTATTCAATCTTGAGAGGTTCGTCTATACCCTTGTTCTCCAAAGCATGGAGCAGTTTGGCCTTTTCTGTTTTGGTTGGGCATCCATCGACAGTGGCTGATGCCCATGGTACTGGATCTAATGGGTATGTCATCAGCTTCTCAAGGTTAATATCACGTTCTTGGGACAGCAGTAAAACTCCAGAAAAATATTTTTTATTGCTCATATCTCAACTAATCTGTTTGCATGCAGCTTTCCCTAGATTATCTACATTGAGTAAATTGTCTTCCACCGATTCGGGTACAGGTCCTCCAGCTGATAAACAGACCATCTAGGAATTCTGATCACAGTTTTCAACTTCAAGCAGAATAATGCATTGTTCAAAAGCATCAAGTACAGTACTTGCAAAATACTTTGCTCACTTCGTTTCATTTCATTTGCTTGCATGCCACTGAAAACAATCTGATGACTTCACCATACTTGCATTTTTAAGATCTAACTTGCTGTGGGCCCGTCCTACGCACAGGAATCAACTAATCTAATCAAAACAAACTAAAAAATCTATACTAAACGACCCATGCTGCACTGCGGCGTTAAAATAAATATCATATCCGAGAAATAATCAAATTGATTATTTTTGATTGTGTAATACAGTTTCTTAAACTTAACCGATTCAAACAATCAAACGACCAATAGCTCAAATTAAAGCCTATAATTGACTGATTATTTTGAGTCTAAAACATATAAAAAAAAAATTAAACAATACTGAAGCTATTGATATTCAATCATAGAAAAACCTTATAATTTTTTTTTATGTTGGATGTTCACCTTGCGTTTGCTTGAAAACCGTCCGATTTGAATAACTAATATCTTAAATGCAAGCCGGTATTTCACTGAAGGTTCTTAGACAAAAATATATAGGGTTATATAATTACAAATGGTAAAATACTGTACAATTTAAATTGAACTACGAATTAAAAAATATATCAAACCTATGTTTTTTGGTCGAGTAATAAAGTAGATAAATATACGATGATGCTTGATGTGAAATATATGTAGGCATACTACCAATTTAAGACCTCAATCATGAAGATCGGACGTGTAGAAGAGCCAAAGAAACTCGGAAAAGAAAAAAAACAAATTTAACTCCCTTTAGAAATACATGGGGGGTAAATTTAATTTACATATAAGCCGCCGAGTGGGACTGTTGATAAATATATACTGATGCTTGATGTGAAATCTGTGCGTGCATACCTTCAATTTGAGACCTCGATGACGAAAATCGGGTGGGTAGAAGAGCCAAACGAACTCGGAAAAGAAAAACCAAATTTAACTCCCATAAGAAATACACGGGAAAAAATTTTGTTTACGTATAAGCCGAGTGGGACTGTAAGCAACTATATGCCGATGCTTGATGTGAAATCTGTGCGTTAATACCTTCAATTTGAGACCTCAATCATGAAAATCGGTCGGGTTGTAGAGCCAAACGAACTCACTAAAGAAAAACCATTTTTTAAAAATATATATTCATGATATTTTCGTGTTTTCCGGAACATGCTGTAATTCACAAGTGGCAAACACCTAAAACCTTAAAGTACATGTCAATACAAACCAAAAAATGTATATGTCGAAAATTCCCACGGGGGGGGGGAGGGGGGGTAAACGCCAGCCTCCGCTCTATTGATGTCAAACGGGAAATTCTAAATACAGTACAACACAAAATAGTCAAAAAGTACAGCTGATGAATTTTTAGCAAACGTGTATGTGAGTTCTCTTAATGACATTTTTTTTTATTTTCTTACGATTTTACTTAAAGAATAACTAGGTTTTTGTGTCAAAAGAATTGTTTATATTCGTTAAATATGTAAATACTAAAGGTTCGTGTGTTTTTGTGAAATCCTATAAACTAATTCAGTTAGTGACTGTCCAGTTTGTTTCTTAGGTTAGTTTTAATTTTGTTACCATGGCAATGAGCATTCACACACTTGAACATGATTACTATAGGCCTAGCTCTTCCTTGTCCAAGGAAAGTTCAAACGACCAAAATTTCTCTGACGCTAATGAGTTGAATAAAGGTATACCAATGATTCCTGACAAATTGTCCAATCAAGAAATGTCAAGTGAAATATTGGTTCATCCTCAGATCATGTGCAAAAACGTCATCGTGTAACTAATCAGACAGACACCACCCCCTTCGAAACAGCTATATGAGCCTATGTACTCCAATGATGACGAGCAAATGGATGATGAAATGCCGGCACGTTGTTTGTTACTTATGATGTCAAAACATGGTGGAAGACTACGTCAGACGACTAAGGTGGCCAAACCTCCACCAATCTTCCTTCCCGGAGTAACAAATATTGGACCAATGGTCAGAGCTTTGGATGCCTTGGTTACCAATACTGGATATACATACAAGTGTCTTGGTCAATATAGAATGAAACTGTTTCCATCGTCATCTAATGATTACAGACACATTGTAAAAGGTCTAAGGGACTTAAACGTAAGCTTCCACACCTACCAGCTGAAGCAAGAACGAGCTAACAGCGTTGGTTTGAGGGAAATGCATTACTTAACAAGTGTTGATACAATTACAGCTGTAATCGAAGAAAAAGGACATGTGGTAAGAAACCTTACTAATCTTAAAAATATATTCACTAAGGAACCCATGTCTATTTTCGTTGTAGATTTGGAACCTAACGCTCAAAACAAGGATATATTTCAGATCCAGTTTTTGTTAAATGCTAAGGTTTCATTTGAACCACCTAGAAAGAAAAAAAAGTTGTTTAATGTAAACGTTGTCACACACTGTTGTCACACACGTTGGCCATACTGTGTATGGCCACGCCAGATCCTACTGTCACAACGATTTTCGTTGAGTCAAATGCACACAAAATCATGATACTAAAGCCTGTCCTAAGCCCATATCAGAGCCTCCAACTGCACTCCGAGAACAATTGAACGTGACTCCGTGAATTAATTGCACTCCAAAGAACACCCGACAAATTACAAGGGTTGTCCCGTATGCAATTATGTTAAAAATAAGCAATCCCCACCCCTTCGGCGAAAAACTCCAGAAAAAACTCAGGAACACACAGGTAAACGAAACTAGTGACCCCGGTAAGAGCAGTTCGTTAACTGAAGGTATTTCGTTTGCACAAGCTACAAGAAACAGTAAGAGGGCTGTGATTCAAGAAACCAATTCCGTAATAATGAAGTCACAGAACAAGAAGCAGGTTTGTCATTCATAATTCAAGATTCGTTTGCTCGCTTCGAAAGTATACTATCCAAGCAACCAGAGCAGATTAATACACTTCTTAATCTGTTAACAACAGTAATTGCTCATTTAAAATTAATATTGTTCTAAAAATTGGTATTTGGAACGCCAATGGCTTGGCTCAGCATAGTAAAGAAGACTATAATGTCTAATGCCAAGCATCAAGAGTGGGGTTCACGCTTGGCTACACCAACAGATCGACAGTTGCTAAGAGTAATAAATGACAACACTCTTAATCATATTTCAACAGGTGAACCTACTTATTGGCCGACTGATATGAGGAAAACTCCTAAATCATTGGACTTCTTCATATCAAAAGGTATTAATCAAAACTACACTAATATACAATCAAGTCCTGACCTATCCTCTGACCATTTACCGATAATATTGTAAATCAGTACACAAGATTTTCACCAAAAAGTAACTGAACGGTTATACAACAAGAACACTAATTGGGAAATTTTTCGTCAAGATATAAACAATAATTTAAACTTAAAAATGCAATTACAAAGCAATCAAAATTTAGAAGACGCCATTGGTTTATAACTTGTATTCAAAGTTCTGTGAAAACATAAACTCCTGTCCTTAATTATTTGTCAAAACCTGGATTAACTTCTGGATTAAGTTACCCTATTTTCGTTAAACAGAAGATTGCGGAAAAAAGAAGGTTGAGAAAATCTGACAAAATAGCAGGAATCCAGTTGATAAAGCATTTTAATAGGGCATCTCGAAATTTGAAGCAGCTGTTATATGATTTAAAAAATCGCTGTTTTGAGAATTACACCCAATCTCTGTCACCTTCCGAAGCTACGGATTATTCCCTCTGGAAAGCTACGAAGCGAATGAAGCGCCCATAGATTCGAATTTCGCCGATTTTAAAATCTGATGGGAGCTGGGCAAAATGTAACACAGAGAAGTCTGAAACCTTTGCTAAATTCTTTGAGAATGTGTTCAAACCAAATGTGGTAGTAAACAAAGAGGAAGAGATACTTGAATATTTGGATGATCCACTACAACTTGACTTCCCATTGCGGAAGTTCAAACCATAAGAAGTAAAATATATCATCACCAACATTCTTCATTCTAACAATGCTCCTGGTTACGACCCCATAACTGGTAAAATACTTAAAGAGCTTCCACGAAAAGGAATAATATTTTTGACTATGTTATTTAATACAATGTTAAAACTTGAAAATATACCAGATCTTTTCAAAAGAGCAAAATAATTGAGAGTCATTCCGAAACATAGGAAGCCTCTTGAATAGGTAAGTTTATATCGACCTATAAGTCTTTTACCAGTAATGTCCAAGTTGTTTGAAAAAACTTCTTCTGAAAAGGATACAAGACCTAATTGGCGAAGATGTGATTCCTGCTGAAAGAGGTCAGCTGATGTCAAAATCGTAAATGAATGCAATGTGCTATCCATAATCATGGTGGACGTAGTTCATAATTTGATGCTAGGTAGCAGCACGGTACAGAAAATGAATCGTTTGACCATAAGACAAATAGAATAAATATAGACTGTCAAAGGAAGGTTCCGGTGCCCACCGCTATGAGTGCCGTGTAGTTACGGCACACACCGCTGCAGGCGAGGAGCGCAGGATCCATATGCGACTAGCAGACGCTGCAGCGGTGTGCGCCGTAACTACATGGCAAACCTAGCGGTGGACGCCAGAACTTACCACTAACCGCAGCACAGCTGACGGCCTATATTTATTCTATTTGTCTATGGTTTGACTTACGTAGTGGATTTTTGACTAGTGCAGTTGAATGACAACCAACAAAGTCGAGATCTGGGTAACACGTGATCATGGGCCCCTGCTTGATGATCATCTTCCGGCTTTTCCTTCTACACGCTGCTGCTATTGTGTGACATGCTGTAGGACATCTGACTGGCAAAAATTGTGTATGACAGGCTCTACTGTGAACTGTTGGATGTGGTGAGTGTTTGTCTGGATAGAGGAGGGGTAAGGATGCATCGTCTTGCTGACATCAGACTCGACTTGGCAGACAGGAGATTGGACACCACCGGGTCCAGGGAGGCTGACTTCACCTTTCTACCTAGGGAGCATGCTACCGACGTGCACTACGCGTTGTTCTGAATGGAGGTGTGATGAAGATGCATGCATCGTCTCGCTGACGTATAACTCAGTTTAACACACTCCTTTTATCTATGGTTTAACCGACGGGATAGTGGACGCTACCAGGTCCAAGGAATTTGACTTTAGTGTTGGTGGTAAAAAACCTGATCAACCTCGGCCTCTCAAACTTGTTCTTGGCAGGAATTCTGACGTAGTCACTGCAATGAAGAATTTTTGCCGGATCTGAGACCAAATTGAATCCACGATTTTCTTCGGTCAAGCTATCCAGAGACAGAACTTCCCGTGAAGCCGCTCACCTTCTAAACCTCAGTGCCGAATTAAAGGAACGCACCACCCTTGGGGGAAAAGGATCTCACCGTAAGTTTCCTAAACAACATCATTGTTAGTTTTTAACAACATCATAATCATCATTTTTACCTTTCACCTTGATCAAGCTCTACATTTCCCTGGTACGCCCACAGCTGGAATATGGGTCTGTCGTCTGGTCTCCTTTCCACAAGAACCATGTCAACGAACTGGAGAAAATTCAAACCCGCTTCATACGGATGCTTGGACCGAGACTTGGGTTAACCTACCACAGCACCCCGGTTGACGATGTGGAGAAGCCCTTCAATCTTCTACCTCTTTCACTCCAACGTCATCATGCCGACATCATTCTGCTCTACAAGCTGGTAAAATGTGTCGTCGATTGTCCCAATATCCTGAGCGGTATCGACATTACCACGCCCAGAGGCACACGCTTCAAGACAATCTTCAGTAGACGCTTTTTCCCAGCCTACTATTCCTACAACAGCGGAATTTTCAGTCTGTTTAAGGCTGGTAGCAGGCGGCTGCTCAACTGGGCTTCTTCTGTGAGCCCTCCCGTTCAAAAAGAAGTCTCCTTGCTAACCTGAGAAACCACACCCCTGCTTGTAAATATTGTTTTCGTTGTTACTTTACCAGTGTTAATTTATTGTTATTACTTTCTTAGTCTACTACTTTGTTATAACTATTGTTATTACTTCTTTAGTTTAGTAAAACTATCTTACATGTCAAATCCTGAATTATTGTAAATGCCATCTGTACATAAACATTGTAAAATGGTGTAATCCGTTGGGAAATAATAAATTAATAAACTAAATTTAAAATCTAATCAGTTAAATTGGCTCATCGGAAGAAAATCAAAACCTAGTCTAGAAAACAAATTATTGCTATATAAAACCAGATTGAAACCAATATGGACATATGGAGTGCAACCATGGGGCTTGGCGAGTACTTCTAATATAGAAATTATCCAAGTATACCAATCGACAATGCTGAGGAAAATAACAAATGCACCTCGGTATGTCACCAATAGAACACTACATCAAGACCTTGTTAAGATGCCTACAGTTAAGGACGAAATCATGACCTTAAGTGAACGATGTATTACGAAATTGGAATCTCTTCAAAACCATTTAGCACTGAACTTATTAAACAACACGGATACAATTTACAGACTTAAGACGCCATCAATTCTGGACCTGCCCTCCAGATTTTTGTGAAGTGTTTTACCGAAGAATTTGTTGTTGACAGTACTCAAAAACTGTATTCTGTTTTGTTTATTTCAGCTTAACTTAACCAATCAATAGTTTTATTAACACATATGAAGTCAAACGGGATGAAGCCCGCGGGTAAATTACCCTTGTCTAGATTTTACCAATACCCTTGTGTCATACGTGTCCTAATTTATTTTAGCCTAGTAACGTAGCTTACTTGTGATCTGGACGGTAGTGGGGGACAGACGCTGTGGCTGAGAATCTAAACAGTCGTGGTTAGACTTGTTGTCTGTCTGCGTCTGCGGGGGTGGTGGCAGCTAAAACAACAACATACATAAGATAAGATACATAATTGTATGGTTGATATCGAAGCGGAAATAGTCTTACCCCAAGAAAAATCTACTACTATAACCATGAGTGGGTGGCAGTTTTGCTGCTACAAGGAGAATAATTAAGTGAATTTTACTAGTAAAATGTTGACAGCCTAGTATAAAATAAAGAAATGTTCCAATTTTGATCAAACTAACACCATAAACTAGCAAACTAAAGCAAAATAAAACCCTGTTCCCATAGTCCGATCATGCTGGTTCACAAACTCTTTCGAATAAACGTAGGTTTTACACGTTTGTATTATTATTCCCTATTTAGGAAATCCCCTAAAAATTATGTCACTGGCCCAAATATTGTACAAATAGCCGTTACAGCTGATTTGCAGGTTTAAAAAATGTGAAAACCCAATTTTTACCCCATAAAACATCAACGCGTTAACTTGAGTAATCTTTGTTTGATTTTTATGACATTTGGCTAGAAGGTGTAGGGCGGTATAATCTTGAATGTGTTCGCGAACCAGCATGGTTTTATGTTCTAAAAATTGGGTTTTCTAATTTTTGACTCTCAAAACAAAAAAATTCCCAATTTCTCTTTAAACCTTATTAAACGGAAAGTAAATAAAGATACGTCTTATAACACTTAAAACATATATTTACGCTTATACTGTTACTCACAAGACGGTAAATATACAAAAGATGGTAAGTGGTGATCGATTTCGATTGGACACTCCAATCATCATCAGACCCAATAGGCAAATGACAACTTATATCTTTATTTACTTTCCGTAAATTTAATAACACGTAAATGATCAAGAAGTTATTTACCTTATTAAACTATATTTAACTTATAAACTATATCAAAAATTAGAGTTTAGAGATTTCATTTAACACGATAAGTCAGGTTATAACACGGACGGAGAGTGTATTTTCGATCCTCATTATATTTCCTCTACCATTTTCCGACCTCGACGTCAGCGACACGTAGCCTCCGTTTTTTAACTCCGCTTTGGAAAGAGCCACTTCAGGCCCTAGTAATGTACAGTATAAGAAACCCCTGGCATAAATATTACAACCTCCATGACAAGATTCTAGTGAAATATACCTTTAAGAACAATCCTCCCGTAAATAAATTTTAACCTAGTTTTTACACATTACAGAGAACTTACCGTATTGCTGATGGCTGTCATCCAATGGCTAGGAATTGCAAAACAAACATCAACAGCGTAAGACCAGTGTACTAGGCTATATGTTTTAGTTACGTTACTAATAATAAAATTGTTATTAAAATAGTAGCTATTGCAGCAAATATTTTGGTAAAAACTGTAGGTTTTTACAAGAATATTATATGACAGACTATAGCCCCTTTTTTATGTTGAGCGGTATGTGTGTTCCAAATAAATAAACGATAAAATTTATTGAAAGTTTACGAATTAATTTTTTCCGTATGTTTTTTTACGTTCTCGTACATTTATTTTCGTAAGAACTTAGGAAATTAGTGATTTTTCCTATATTTTGCCTGAAAATTTTGTCTTAAGGCAGGCAAACTGCGGCATTGCTACATCAATTGTATCGTGATATTTTAGTGGACAGAGAGCTCACCGATTACCTATTTTGGAATTTAATTACATTTAAACGAATTTACAACACAGACGTGTGCGAGAGATGAGTGAGTGGAGTTGAATGGTTATGATGATAGCTTTGTTACTGACTAAGACCAGTTAGCTCTAGGGTTATAACAATATGATCTCTAAGGAGAGCTAGGTCCAGCGTCGAACCATCAAAAAGCTAATTACTGTTCTCAGGGTCGAACCAGTGCCCTATATCCACTCTAGGAGAGACTTAGGTCTATCACATGTACAACTGCATCTTGAGCTGAAGCAGCCATGGGACTGTGTCAGGCATACTCTTCAGACAATGTGTTGCTGATACAACTTTACGTTTAGCTTCATTCAGTTATAATATTTTATATAATTGGCTGAGCATTACGCTTGGGCGTGATAGTATATACTCACTTGACTTCCTCCTCGGACTGAGCCAGTAGCCAATGGACTTTGTCACCTCCACGGGTGCCGAACGCCATGAGCTGGACGACATGACAGCCCGAGGGCAGTACGGGACGACCAGGGATCCTCAATGTCCATTGGGATACTGCCAGCATCTCAGGGGCTTCCTTGACCACGACACTACCTTCAGGTTCCCCGCGACCCTTCTCCTTGAACCACGCCAGCGTAGAGTCGTCGTACAGCACCACCCACTCCTCCCGCCACGCTCGGCCAAACAAACGCTCTGCAACAAGTGCGTTCAGTGTATTTCATATACATATCAATTTTGAAGAGTAGATTCGTAAACTCTTGTACAATCTAAATTGACACGTTCAAGTACACTCAACCGCTTTAACGGTAAAGTAACCCCTGGAATGTTTGCAAATATAAAAGGGATAGACCCCTTTAATCTCGCACAGAAAAAAAAGTTTAAGACACTAACCATTAGGATATGAACACTTCGAAACTTATCTCAGAAGTATAAATATGCGTGGTTCCCAAAAAGAATGTAACATTTAAGTTTTCCTTAATGTAGTTAGCTCATATGATTTGTTTGATTGCTTATCAAAAAAAATCATATAACTGAAATAATATAACTTAAGTGCAAGTTCTTCTATAAAAACTTTTAAAAACTCAAAGAGAGGCAAACATATTGACATCAGAGTGCATTTTATAAAAGATCCATGTATGAAAGGAATAATTGATGTGCAGTATGTAGTCAGGATAATCTCGCCGCTCCATGTAAAGAAAGGTTCGTGCAATTGCGCAAGATTATAATGAATATAGACTGATGTAATAATTTGTTGTCGTTAAACCGATTAATATATTTTTTAAAAATCAAAATATCAATCGAGGGGGTGTGTTACGATATACATTAGTTCTGTTAACACATAATTATTTAAATTGTCTTACTTGTCTGTATTGCATATGATTTCCTTTGTTTTACAAGTGAGTTCTGTTGCTAACACTTAAAGTTATGTCCTGTTAATACAAATAATTGTTCTTCCACGTGCTGCCGTATTTTATTGAAGAATAAAATAATCTAAAACATTATATGTCATGTAGGTGACAATGTTATGTAGTGATATCAAATACATTTTAAAACAAACAATTTAATAATATAATAAAAATGTGTAGTAGTGTTAATAAAATTTTAAATAATCTATTGTAATATTAACTAGCTGTTGTACCCGTGCTTCGCAGCGGAAATGAAATTCTGTTAAAACGAAGTAACGAACCCACGACCTGTTTGCCTATATATTGGCTTGGACAGTCTTGGCATTATTTGTATAAACACCTGTCATTTAAATTTTGTCTCTTGATCGGTCAGTTTGTGACAGGGTGACACATATTTACTTACGAATTTTCGAGCAACCTCCACCGTTCCACCATGAAGACAGGTCCTCGCGAAGAGTTTCTATAAAAATGTCGCAACATCGTGCTCTATTAAAGTTGCCCTCCTTTGACTAAAAACCTTTTTTAACATGACAAAAATATCTGTCTGCTTACTTTATTCCTAACACACATCGGGGATTTATTGGGAGAAGGGGTAGCATAAAGGTATTTAGACTTTCCGTCATAGTGGTGCATTTGAAGGTAGGGGAGACTTCGCTAAAAGACTTCGCTTCGAAGAGAGCACTGCAAGTATTTGCTGTTTTTGACTTGTACAGTGAAGTGATGCATTGCTTTGCGATGACATGATGACCTGGCGAGGGAACTCCAAAATTCGCACAATTCTTTGACGAAGTATTTATTGTTTGTTTACACCACGCTTCGTGCATCATTTCCCCGCTGGATTAGCCTCCCCAAAACTACCTGGATCCCTCGGGACCAGTGGAGTCGTTTTAATCCCTGACCTTTTTAGATCCTCGGATTACGGGACCAGCTAACCATTACCCATCCTATCCAAATGTTCGTTTCGTGTTATTTATTTATTGTGTGCGTGTGACAGTAATGTCTTTTATGTATTTGTACCCTGACGATGCCGTTTTAACGGTGAAACATGAAACTTTTTAACCTCACATCGACAACATTTGGATTACTTGACGAAGTAATTATACCACAATATTATAGCCACATTTTTAGTTTAGGGTTCCAGCTTTTTTCTTATTAAGTTTAATTTTTTTTTTAAGTTTAGCAGCCGACGCTAACATTCTAAACTAGCTTTTCGTATAATATAATTGCTTAACATAACAGCTGTAAACATTCAGTGTTTGTGACACAAATTCAGCATTTAAATAATAATTAAATACGTAGGGTTGAGTTATTTATACTATGTGTAATGCTATATTTTTGATAGTTCAATCCTTTGGTGAGTGGATGACATCTATCTATATATTAATAGGCAAGCATGTTTCTTTAAAACCTTTTTTCTCAGCTCGTGTGTATCGTAGGGAAAATCTACGCATACCGTTAGAAAGCTATTTTCCTGTAGGTGTGCAGAATCCCTTTATAAATTAAAATAGGCTCAAAAATAAGCACAAAAAATTAATTAGAAATTTAAAAAAAATTAACATGGATCTTATGGGTTGCTATGGTGATGACGGAATAACAACAAAATATAAACAGAAAATCAAAACAAATGGAAGACATTCCAATCACATGTTTTATTTACAGTGTGGGGTGAAAATAGAGAAGTTTGCACAAAACATACTGTTGGTCGATTTTTCGACCACGGGGCGTGCTCTTGTATTATTTAAATATACACAATAAAAAATGGTAAAATACTAGATGTTCAAATTATTTTCAGAGAAGTCTTTAAAATCTTAGGTTTGTTTTAGTGCAAGTAGGGGCAATATGGCAAATATAAGTCCCTTTGAGCGTTTTTCCCCATAAGAATAACATGGGGATCATTTTTAGACACTAATTCCATAAATCCTGATCGTTACCTACATATCCCTATACAATTATTGTCCAACCTTATAAATATAACTAATCCTCACTTATCCCCTATATATATTCAAAATCAAGCGTAAAAAGCGAATTCTTTCATTTATTGACCTACACAAGTGTAAATGTAAATTAGGGGCAAGAGGGCAAAGAGACGACGCTTTAGGCGTTTTTTCCCATAAGAATAACATTGTGAGCTTTTTTAGCCATTTTTTTAATACTGCTCTTGGCCTATACAAGCCCATACAAATGTTCTATACTATTGGCCAACTCCATTAACACTTAAAATCCCCATCAAAGTATGTGATTTTATCTGTGATAGCACCATGGATCTTAAATCCCATATATTGCAAAGTCACAATTTTTTTTAATTTCTGTAAAACAAATGTTATGAACATTTTAAAAGACACATCAATTCTTGCAACAATTGTCCATATACAATGATTATATTTGTTGGTGAATCGATTAGAACTGAACTTGGAAATAATCTTCAGTCTTGTCCTCTGCCGATAAAATTGACTTTAGTAAGGAGAATCAAATTGATAAAATATACAATAGATCAAAATGGAAAATTACCGAATGAAAAAAAAAATTATTGCAGATTTTAGAAGCCTTACCACCTTAACTATTGAGAAAAGAGATTTAATACCTCAAATTGAAAATGCTCTTTTAAAGAATGACGCATCGTAAATCGCATTATTTTTTAATTCGTGATTTTGATAAATTAGTGAAGTACGACCATAAAAAGTATTTTTGCAAGTTGTGTTTACAATACTTTACATTAATGATAAATTAGAACGTGACACAATATATTGTAAAAACGTTGATGCCCAACGAGTGGAAATGTCTAAACAAGATACATTACAATTTAAAAATTCAAAATATTAACTTAAAGCCCCATTTGTGATTTATGCAGATTTTGAATGTTTTATAAACTCTAACAGCCATACTCCACCTCGATTTGCATTTGTTGTAGTGAGAGATTCTAAAATTATTTCTGAAGAATTATATAGTGGCGCAAACGTTATGTGCGTGTTTATTTGAGGTTATTTGAGACTTGTGATTTTATTAAAAGTCAAATGGTGATAAATATTCCCCTTGTAATGACTCCAGAGCAAGAGGCATCTTTCCAAAACTCAACACATTGTCTCGATGGAATTTAAATAATGCAACACTTGGGAAAGTTTAATCGTAAATTAAATTGCATAGCCAAAGATATGGAAAAGTACATTTCATTCTCTGTTGATGATATAATATTTTTAGATTCCTATAACTTTCTGTCCCTTCCATTATGCAAATTAGCTTCCAATTTAAATACATTTAGATTTATAGACAATTCACTACTACAACGCAAAGGCGTATTTATCTATTAATATATGACGAGACCAGATAAGTTTTCCGAGTCTCTCCCTCCAATAGAAGCATTTTACAGTAATCTAACTAAAAAACATTCTCCCAATGAATATGTACATGCCTGGAGCCATTTTAATATAAATATTTTTTTGTTGTTGTTCTTTTCCGAGTTTGTTTGGCCCTTCTACCCGACTGATTTTCATGATTGAGGTCTCAAATTGAAGGTATGCACGCAAAGATTTGCCATCAAGCATCGGCATATAATTATCTATATTCTCACTCTGTTTATACGTAAACGAAATTTGCTCTCCATGTACTTCTTATGGGAGTTAAATTTGGTTTCTCTTTGCCAAGTTCATTTGGGCTCTTCTACCCGACCAATTTTCATGATTGAGGTCTTACATTGAGACATGCACGCAACGACTTCACATCAAGCATCGGCGTATTTTTACCTACAGTATTACTCCAACAAAAAACATAATGTCAATCATTTTCGTATTCTTACTTCAATTAAGATGTATTTCACCAGTTATAATTAATTATATAATCCTATATATTTTCGTATAAGAACCGTCAGTGAAATACCGGCTTTCATTTAAGCTATTAGTTATTCAAATCGGGTGAGTTTCAAGCAAACGCAAGGTGAACAACCAACATAAAAATAATTTTTAATATGGGTTTTCTATAATAAAAAATCAGTAGCTCCACTGTGAGCCACTGCCCGAGGATGAATTTCGTTGGACGAATGAGATAGACTACAATAATAATCAAAATGACGAGTTTGAATACATTTTGGAAGTTGATTTAAAATAATATGATAAAAGCTTACATGATTTACATAATGACTATCCATTAACGCCGGAGAAAATGAATGGCAAATTAATACCTGATTTAAATTTAGTAAAGTAATAATGTATGATTTCCAGTATAATCGTATGTCACAATTTAAGAACAAAATATTTCTGATTCAAAAATGACAGACACTGAGTCTTTAATGTATTC